TTTACTGGGGTGTAAGGGATTAACATGAAAAGTCAGCTTGGATGAGCTTAGCCGAGGGAATTATTTTTCTTGTTGGTAAGCTGCGGCTACTTATATTGATATTTATGCACCGAGCATCATCTATGATCAATTATAAGCAGATTATCTGCATCTGCGGATGGGATACCTATGGTATCGTGTTCAAGAGTGACGCCAATGCGCCCGCTCATGCGGATCATGTGATCAAACTCTCCACAAATTGGCTTGAGCGCCCATCAAAGGGCAAGCATTAACTTACTTAATATAAGGAAAGCAAAAGTCAAATGAAGCTCAACTTTAGTGATCGTGGGTGACAATGATCAATTAAGTTATTTTCGAAGTCAAACCTATCATAAGAAATCGAGTTTGCTGGGGCTAGGCCCCGTGAGGCGCACAGGGTTGTCAGACAATTCTCTTCCAGGTTGAGGAACGTGTCTCGATCTGAAGGTGTCAGACAGCAGAGCACTGACACAATTATTCTCGTTCGGGAAATTCGTCCGATTCAACACTATGCATTGAATGTGGCAGAAGGGGGCGGGTTACTTGGTTGCAACGGGAGGAGACTGTTGCTCAACTGTCCCCCTGTTAGGATTGCTTATTGGAGCCAAATATCTGGGTTAGTGATCGATCGATCGAAAGTCTGAGTGCAATCGCTACCCAATCGAGTAAGCAATAGTTGAAGCCCCGAGACGAAAGTGTCCGTTAGAAGCTTCGAACGTACCGTTATACACATACAGATCTTTTCCCCCCTCCCAAAGCGCTATCCTCGGAGCTCAGTCTCACCGTCTTCAATAGTCTGTTGCCTCTTCTAGTAACATTTTACTCACTAGGCTAGAGAGCGATCGATTTCCAGAGCAAAATGAGCAACTGATAAATCACTTATAAGTTAGGTCAGTTAACGAGCTAACTTATAGTCTTCCGGCTGGAGTAGTAAACAACAGGGCAAATGAAAACCTCCATTGAAGAAGAAAGACAGGAATTAACCAGCGCCTACATTCATTACCTAAGGCTAAATTGACTTTGTGACGGATGTTGAATGATCATCAGGAATGTTGATCAAGGTGGTGATGACGATGGTGCCACCCACAAACGGCTATGCCCGAGATCTCGAGCAAGGGAAAGCGGGGAGCGTTGTATTGTACCATGGTACTGTACAAATCACGCAGGCACGGCTATATTTTGCTGCACCTCCTCTTCCCCTCCTTCGATCTCATCCTTTCCTCGACATTGCTTTGGTTTACGAACTAGATTGTTCCCCCCTCCCTCTCCCCCCTGTCGAATGACAAATAGCTTCAAGACTGCAAGACTGCAAGCGAAAGCAGGGGGCCCAGCAGCCTGATCCAAAAGTTCTGGTTCCTCGCCGCAGGAGGGGAGCTGACCATGGCTCGCGTCAGCTGGAAAATTCCGCACGCCGTGCTTCGGAGTGAATGGCTGGCCATACTTTAGCTGCGATCCCAACTGTGCATATCTTTTGGGCTAGCTGCAGCAGGCGAAGTGTGTTTGCAGGTGTTTTGCTGATGCGCGATTCCATTTCCCCACTAAGATCGTTCTCAGATCTCCAGGGTCGGAGACTATCCTTCCTTTAACGCAGCCGGTGCTGACGCTAAAGGTGCCTTCTGTTCAGCGAGGTTCTCCGTTGGAATCGATCTTGTCCCCTGGGTGGGTATGTCTGTATCTACTCCGGCCTTGTCTTGAACCTTGTTTGATCAGGGCGACACTCTGACGAGAAGATTATGTTGGCCAGGAAGGTCAAAGCTCCCTGTATGTTACCAGGTATTAAATCAGCGATATGGGAGATGTGCCAACTTCGATTTCCAGTATGTTTGACATACCTTGGGTCCAAAATTTGGATCTAAATATCGATCACAGTGGCATTTTGCTGCCTTACCAAGCAGCTAGTCATGGGTCGCAATGCTAAAGAAGGTACGGCGCCGAGGCAAAACACCGCAGCGTCGGTAATATGGATAGAGTCGACTCTTGCAATTATTTCTTCCCAGGAAAAGCGTGGTGGATGGCCATCGCCTTCTATTCTTCCCTTGAGTCACAGAAGCCTAGAGCCGTATGAATTAATTTCTGTCTAACTAGCCCTGGCAAATGTCTTATTCGAGTGTGACGCATTTTCGTTCAGAAGACAGGCAGTGATCCCGGTGACTGAGGGGCTATACCACATGTTTTTCAACTTCTCACACCAGATATGATGATCAGAAAACCACTCCTTCCCATCTACATATTATTTACACCTGACAACAATCCGGGACAGCAAACACCCGCGTAGAGATTTAATTATTCAAGAGTTACTTCAGTTCGATGAAATACCTTTGAGCGTCCCGTGTTCGTTCCGCACCAAAATTAGAGGCACATTCCCTCAGATTCCGTAGCGTGCGATCTCTGGATCTTGATATCCGGACCACTTATCGTTGCCCCGATATTAACATTGATTAATATTGTCTTCTGTCCCCTCCTCAGATACGGTGCACCACCCCTCTTTTGGCTCGCCCCTGCTCCCGTCGGCTCCGAAATCGTTACGTACCCATACCGATTATCCGTGGTCGAATGTTCCCTGATGTTTGGTAATGACATTGAGCCCCAGCTCTAATGACGAGCCATCAAACAAGATTTCTTGGTTGACGTACAGTATAGCATAAACTATAAGGATGGAAGTTTTGACTTGCACCTGACTCTGGTCAAGAATCAAAAAATGTTTAGGTAGGGAGCTGAACAAACCCCATACACAGGATCGATCCTATTTTTGTAAGAAAAATAAGATAGAAAGTAAATCGGTTAAGCTATTCTTTAACCTTTCTCGAGTCCTCAAAACCTGATGATTTTGGGGCAAGATATCCAGCACTTGCGGATGCTGTTATATTCGCCGATTCTATAATGTAACATGTTTTGAGATAATACAGGATTGTAACAAGGGAGAAACTGGTTACAATTGTAGATAGTGAGAAGTGGCAGGAGCTAAGCACTAATTAGTACTAGCATGTCAATCTGGAAAGCAATGGTATTGTAGTACGTATCTTAAATACGTAACATGGATAATTCAGTCTTTTGCGAATTAATACAAAATAACCCAAAGAAAAAGAAATCATTTTTCAAGGCCAGGGACAACCCCCCCTGGTAAGGCTCCATCGCTCCACTGAGATATCCGCCCATCGCCAATATGATTTCAACCCACTCCACACTTTGTGGAAGATCCGCAGTTCGCAGCCCGTAAAGCTTCTGTAATTCGCCGTAACTTTAAAGTGGTCACGACCGCCAGCATGATTCGACGATCTCATAGTCCGGTCTGGCTCCTCCACCTGCCTGTCTTTCTTCCATCCAGTTTCCCAGGTCTGAGCTCATCTGTCTTGGCCCGATGTACTGACTACTTCGTCCTAGTACGTAGCTCCTGTTTGGATCCTCCCGTTTATCGTGTGTGTGCGGGCCCTGGGTGTTGAAGTTGGATTTCTTTGGTCAAGGATAATTTTAATTTCGATCTCTATTTTCTTTTTCCTTTTTTCTTTCTTTCTTTTTTTTCCCCTCTCTAAATTCCCTTTTTGAAAATAATATTCACAGAAATAATAATCATAATAAAAATAATAATATTAACCATCATCATTATGATAATAATAATAAAAAATATTCTTTACCAGTGCTCCGTACTAAGTCAATTATTCTAGTCTTCTGCGGATGTTGCTCCTTCCATCTCCATTGTTATTCTACTTCTTATGTTCCTACTTACCCTGCTGGTGCTGCCGACTACCCACCTCACCCTCTTTCGCTTCCTCTACACCTACTAATATCTTCTGCGCCAGTCTTCTTTGACTTTCTTCTTTTTCCTTTAATTCTAGCATTCCAGTCGTGGGGAGATTCTCCTTGTTCTTTCGCGAGCCATCTTAGATCCTGTTACTAATCCCTCCATATTTTGCTACTCTTCCCACCCCCCTTGACATTTATCAAATCATCCTGTCCCCGCCTTCTTTTTCCTTGGATGTTCCCGGACACGCCCTTGTGTCCGCTTGTCATCCCACCTTCATATCTCGTCTGCCTCCACCGACACTGATCCCTTATTCTTCTCTTTCACATCCAACCCGCTCTTGTGCTTTCTATCAATCGATCGATAGTGACAGAAAAGGAAAGGTCGGAGATCTATTAGACAGATTCCAAAGACTCAAGGCAGTGAAGGAAACAAGACCAGCCAAGGTCTCCCTTTCCACGCGACGCATTCACCTTTATCCCTTGCATTTACTGCGCCTCCGCCGCTCCCGCGAACTCAAACATTGTCAAATCGATCTTTTGACTGTACACAAAGCAAAATTTCTGACTGCAGAACCTCAATCTGGAATCCGAGGAGTGCAAGCTTTGGCTGGGAGTGCAAGCCCAGTCAGTTAAAATAACTCTGATCTAACCTGTTCACTGCGCGCTGCGGGTGCGTGTCATATTTTGTTGTCGCCGTCCTATAGTTCACAGCACTTGACAACCGCGGCTGTTCTCAAGGCGATCGCATTGCCACTAATCCTCACGGAGTCTGTTCCGCACCTTGCGCTGACTTCAAATCGCCGCCCTCTGTCGCCTTTCTCCCCCAAGCCAGTCCGGGCGACCCATCGGGAGTCCCTTCCTACAACTTTCGCCCGCTCTCCTGCTTTCCACACCTACAACCGCCACCACCTTCGATTACACAACTGTGGAGCGAGGCGACTTCCATCATTCATCTCTACATTTGCTCAATCTCGCAATCGTCTTCCCGAAGCAAATCTGTCGCGGACCCCAGCTCATCTGACGAGCATCCGTTATTACACTCCGCCCAAGATCTCGTTGCTTGCCTTTGTTTCTTCCGCCTTCGCTCGGCAGCCCTCACCGTCTGATAAATCGTGGCGACCGACTCGCGGACATATCACAAATTATACCGACTTACACCCAGGACCGAGAATCAAATACACAGTGGATGAAACCCACGTATCTATTTTGATTCCCCTATTTTGTTGTAATCTACTGGCATGATGGGATCGTTAGAAGCCGAGCACAGGCACAGGTATGTCTCGCGTTATACATGCTCATGGGAATTCAGCCTGTCAAATGGCAATATTACTGCACAGAGCCAACGTTTGTCGGATAATTTTACTGACAAGTCAACGCCTCAATCTAGAGAGCACCTCCCCGTCCTGGGATTTCTTGGGAAAGACGGACCAAATTACAGCGCGAAACATCCTTCCGCCGCCATGGGCCCGACATCTTCCCCGACACCACTTTTGAGTCCAACATCCATGTACCCGTCGCAATCCCTACCCTATTCTTTCTCCACATCCGCCAGCACAAGCTCATTGCAAGGTGGATACATATCACCGCCAGATTCGCGGCGCGCATTCGAGGAGGAGAAGGAAAAGCCGCCGCAGAGACAATCGCTTCCGTCGATCCATGAAGCCTTGGGAAACGATAATCCATTGCCCTATCCTGCGCCCACATCGGCTCCCCCACAACAGGCTCACCATGCACCCCACCCTCCCCCCTTGTCGTCTAGCGTTGCTGGGCGACCGGGCACAGAGGGGCCTCCTGGACCACCTAACCCGTTCTCAAACGGCGCCTCGTCGGGCACCTTCATGCGCGAGTCAACGTTCCCCCACCAACCTCAGTTGCAAGCGGAGGCGTCGCGGTCGAGTTTGGCCTCAATCAACACCCAGGACTCCAGAACCACATCTCTACATTCGCTAAGCTCGGGAAAGTCTCCTACGCAGAGTGCGAAGACTGGTCTTACTTCGATATCCGGGTCCCAGACTGGTTCTGGCTATGAGTACAGTGCGCCTCCTTCTGCCGGCAGTGTGGCTTCTCCCAACGGATATGGCACATTCTCGCAGTCCTTCCAGTTTCAGTCGCAACCTCCTCCGAACGCGCCGTCATACCCATCCACTCCTTATGATGCTCGACCTTATGGTGGAACAGGCTGGAAACCAGGAATGCCTGATACCGGTCGTGCTGAGGAAATGAAGGGGGTGATTTCAGCTCGTCCTCCGTTGACTGGACATCATTACGGTGAACCCGTCAAGCGTCATTTAGACATTTATGACGTGGAGACCTCACTGAATGAAGTAGCTGACATTAGCACTCGAACTTTGGACTTTTCGCGTCACTATGCAACAAGGGCGCATCAAACACAGCGCTCTGGTCCAGTATCGGGGTCGTTGCCACTTCCGCACGAGATTGAGGAGATGCTCAATCTAGCGCGCCGCAATCAAGAAGCTTTGCTTCGCATACGAACTGCAGTGCTGAACGAGCATGCTTTGGCTGAGCAAATGGCGCAAAGGAAAGTTTTCAAACCCAGTGGTGTGCACGGTGAGGATCACGTGGCAATGTATCAAGAAGATTTCAAGGCCAATGGTGGATTTGCGGGACCTGATTCGAAAAAAAGACGAGGGGTATGTTCATTCGTTCACCAATCACCAATCCATGATATCATTTATCTTGCCACCTAAATTGTTCTACCTTGCTAACAGTGACATCTGCAGAAAGCTGCTCCCCCCGGGCGTTGTCATAGCTGTAACCGAGCCGAAACACCCGAATGGCGCCGTGGTCCGGACGGAGCGCGAACCCTGTGCAATGCTTGCGGGTTGCACTACGCCAAACTGACGCGCAAGATGGGCGCTAATAAAGCTGCGTCCATGGGCTCAAATCTGAGGCCCAAGACTGCACTCGACACCTCGTCACCAAACAGTCATTAAAGTTATTATCAGCTCATCTAGCTCGGCGTTGGGATTGGCTTTGAGTTTAGAAGCATTAGGCGTTCCGAGCCCTGGTTGCTCTTCTTCATCATATCCTCTTAAATGATTTTATGTGGACTTTCTGCGGTTCGCTTCCAGGTTGGCTGGTTGCCAAACTGTCCCAGCACAGGGACTTGATTTGATTTTCTCCGGATGTTTCGTGGATTTACTCTAATACCCCCTGCACGACGAGTTGAAAGGCATTTGGGATAGACTTGTTGCTTTTTGTTCTTATTTCCTGTTGTTTATATCCTTTCTATTGCGGCTGGTTATAATCTGACGCTACAGGCCATGCATGTGCTTTGTTTCTGCTTCAACTCTGTCCCACTTGTTCGGCCCTATGGATCGTTCTGTTATACTCTTTTCTGGTTTTACACTTATACCCCGGTTCGATCGATCTGAAATTACCAGTCTGGCAAATGTTTCGATGGTTAGAATGTGCCAATATTATGTTATCCACGCAGTCACGCAGTCTATTTAGGGATGTCATGGGTACCTATTTCGGTACCTGTTTTCCTGCTAGGGCCCTCCAGTATCGTTTTGTATGTACTCCAGGCTTGTTTTCCCACTGTGCACAGCAGCCGAGAGAGGTCAAAGCCACCACTTTTACCATCAGAATCTTAAGAAATCTCTCACCATGGGGCCGCCCGGCTCGGTCACCGTTTCCCCGGCAAGAACTGATGGTATGCAGGTGATGATACGGCTATGGGACAAATCTGACATGTTATCTCAGGCCCTGGATCTCGACATCGGCAGTACAAGATCGGGCAACCCTAATTTAGACAGGCGACCGCCGCGTCGGACTCAGTCAGGAGTCAAGACAATCCACTCCACTAATGAAAGAGCGAGAGAAAACGAGAATAGAAAGAAGCAGAACGGAGTGGATCGTGTATAGACATCTTTCTATTGCTCTTTTTGGAGAAGCAACGTACGTACGTCCCGGGACTCACTACTACAGTGCCTCGTGGCCCGATAGATGCCGAAAAAAAATCACTCAGATGGAGACTAGAGAGACACACTAGAATCGACCAGAACCCCCGCGGAACCCGAGCTTGCACTTAGGCTTGATCATTCTGAGGCGTCTGCACGGTCGATGGCCGAGCTAGTGTGGGTGGAGATGATGGTGACGATGTGTATTGTCCAGTAGTCAGTACTAAGTAGTTACTAGTTAGTCTACTCGCCCGTCTCACATTGTGGATACCCGGTAATTGGATTGAATCGTTGCCTTTTTTAAACATCGCATGCTCAACAACTGATAGTGCAGGCTATTGCCTTAGATTCTAGTCTGAAAAGTGACTAGAATAGGAGGTGCTGGTGGTGGAATTACATTCGACCCGAGACATTTCATTAGCTCAGGCAATCTGACTCTTGGACCTTTTCCGGCAAAGTCAGGATCCCACTGCGAATCGAAGGAACCACCGATCGGATCTCATCGTGTTTGCATCCGATCTCACTTTCCCATCTTGCATCCGTCCCAACAATTTAGAGTGGTAATTATTGATGGTGGAAAAGTGCCGTCACAATTCTACGCATACAGAGTACGGTCGTGATGACACTAATACCTCAGTAAATGATTATGATGACCGAGGTGCTGCTGAGGGTTTTATTGATTGTGCCCCATTCTATCGTCGCCTGTACTACCACTACCACTACCACTTCCACTTCCACTTCCACTTCCACTACTACGTACTAGATCAACTACCACGCCCCGCCCCTCCAGACAACGTTGCCGTTCGGCGTTAGGCGGGCGATTTGGTTTCCAAGATGTGAGATCTCATTCAAATTGACGGTGGGTCCCCACCGTTCCCGACCTCTCTTCCTCCTCCTCCTCCTCCTCCTCCTCCTCCTTCCTTCCTTCACCGCCAATTCAACCTTTCAAGGTCACATTCATTCCGTCCCCTTCCCTCCCCCTTTCCTTCCGAGTGGACGAATCTCCATCAAAAAGTCGGTATCATCGATCCTATTCCCCTTGGGACTTATCGTATAGATACATACATACATACATGCATTCGAACTGCTAAGTACTAAGTCTCCATCTCTTCTTCCTTCGAGAGGGCTATCTTCAAGCAAAAAGGCTGCGACATTCACTGTTCCAATGTGTTCCAATGTATGACATTCCCATGGGTTCTGGATTCCTCCCACCTCCGAACTATTGCCAGCGACAATCCACAACACATGCTCGTATATGTTCATGTACAGTATTGTGGTTCAACTTCCGGCCGAAGGTTCAATGGGCCGATTCCTCTTTCCTCCTCACGAGGTTACGTATAATTTGGAATCAGAGATGCAATTGTGTCATGTATCCACATCAGACACCTCCATTCGCTCGGCTATAGATTGGGAAATAGATTAGAATAAGACCACCATCATGCCACGTCTGTCTTGGAAATAGTCTAAGACTTGGTCGCCTTCTCCACTCCCCGCTCGATCGATGACAAGGCGGCTGGGATGGACATCGTTCGACATGGCCTTGCCAGTACATAGTCTACGTGTAAACAGCAGGAGTCGCTGCTCTCGGGCAATAATACCGCAATACGCCCTCTCGGTAGCCGAACCCCGGCCGGTCGGGCGAGCTCGGTCATCATTATCCACTATGCACTGTACTGTACATAGTATGTCTTTGGGGGCGCTTCACATCAACGGGGCTATATGAGGGCGCACGACTATTTGGGCTGGTATTAGTTTAATCTATGAACTCAACTCTTGCCGCTAGTATTTGTCTACATTTGGGTGCATTGCTTCTTATTGAGTTCCTCCTTAGGTGTGCCCCAGTGAGTAGCACAATGATCCCAGTCCGTCCCAAGATTGTTGACTGGACTGATGTAACCTGTCCGACTACGTAGTTATCAAGAGCGCCTAGTATCGACCCCACCGACCCAATCTCTCGGTACTTTAAGCGGTGAAACCACTGCGGACTGATCGATCGATCTATCTCCCTACCTCGCCTATCCACTAAGAACAGTTGATACGCCGTCTGTTTGGGCATGCAATGCTTACTTCGGTCTGAGCCATGATGATACCCAAGATACCTTCGCCAGGGTCTCAGTTCCAGACTAGTTACTCCGTGCCTTGTGTGAAGTCTACGTACGTACTGTCTGCCCCTCATTTCCACCGTCATTTAGAATGATTTCCCTGGGACGAACGAGCAAAGGCCTGAAACCAAACCCTGAACCTAGATGTTTGCCTACCAGATCAGCAGACTATGATCATGCCGGGTGAGATGCAATTTTTCTTTTGGGGCGGGTCGAATTCGGCATTTTCCCGAATTCTCGCCCTCGCCCTCTGGTATAAGATCGTCTGATATCATCCTGACCAAAAGATGAGAACGGTGGATCCCACCTCGATCGTCGCTTTTTTTTTGTTTCCCCAACGCAGATTCCTTGTTGCTACGTAGTTCTAGTCTTGGCCTAGGAGCCTCGCAAGTTTCGGCAGAGGGTAAGGGGAGGGATGGGGGATGGGGGGGGGGGGGCTGATCTTTTACTTACTTACTTACCCCTTTTGATTAGACAAAAAAAAAAGAAATCTGCCGAAAACTTCTGAAAGTGCCAGGCGGTTAGGCCGGATGACACCGAGCGAAAAGCAGATCTCAAATCGAACCAAGGATCATCCAACTCACGAATCAGTCGACGGGAAGCACCCGGCGGGGCAGATGCTTTTTCTTATTCGATCGGCGATAGGGTCCGATAGATAGATAGTTCAGCTGATTGACAGATTCGAAGACGGCCCTTCTTTACCTAGTATCTTTCGGGGTTTGCGGTGGTTGCACCTGAAGCTCTTTTTCTTTTTCTTTTTTCGGGTTTTGGTTGGTTCCATTTGGGTAGTAGTTTTTCCTTTCCAGGAGTGACATTGGCATTTTATAAGGATCCGGATCTTTGAGGAGTTTCTTCAAACTGGCACCGTGACTACTCGAGTGTATGGGACTGTGTCTGACAATTTTATGTCTGTAGTCTCTGATACGTGTAAACTCACGTCCGGATCTAGCACGGGAACACTCCCCTCCCTCCTTTCTTTCACAAAGAACATGAGGCCTTCTTGGGACTTCCAATGTTTTAAGACTCTAACTTTTGCGGAGTTTGAGGTGAAAGTATCCCGCAGTTGGGTATCGAACCCTAGCGAACAAGGCTGCAGGTAGATCGACCGGGGGAGGAGGGGGGCAGGCAGCCTGAGATATCGGGATCTGATCTGTGACAACTCGAGAAGGAATAGAACGAATCGATCGCCAATCGCCAATCGCAAACCACATATCCAGAACTAAGACAGAAAGGCGCCGCCACGGCGTGTGGGTGCTGCATTCCTGTTTGAGAGTGAGCCAAAAAAAAAAAAAAAAAGAAAAAAAAAAAACCAAGGCTAGTCTGGCTGGCTCGTTGGATTTGCAATTCTGAGGTGTTCACGCATACCAATACCAATTGACCGTATTTGCAGCAGCAGGGGTAATCCCTGCGGTACTGCATGTTCATGGAGGCCGCAGGAAGATGTATGTATGTATGCATGCATGTATGTGTGTATGTATATCATCCGGTTCCATCACAGTCAGTTGGCACAGTCGTGGTTGTTGCGGCGGTCTGGTTGGATGGTGTATGGATGATCTAGGGGTTGCTTGTGGGCTCGACGTGCCTGGCTCGACTATTTGCTTCCCATCAGATTCATCTTCACGGAGTCATGCGCGCCTGTCTGAAGGCTCCGTCAGTGTCTGGATGGTCACTCGTGTGGTTAGCTTGAGTACGTGCAGACACGCTGTGTAGATTCAATCCGCAGCAGAATGTCAACCTGATGAAGACATGGCTCCGTCACCAGCCGAGCTGAGAGCTAGAACCACATGGCATCAAGGCTACGCATACCATGTTATTGATGACTCTGTAGCACCGCAGACCTGCCTCATCCACGAAAGATGTCTATCCAGGTAACCCATACATCTTGTCAGGCTTCTGTATACGTTTCTAGATACGGAGTATGTACCCAGTATGTACATGTGACGCCGTATTCTACAGGTTCCGCTCTTTGATACATAATGTACAGAACATATGACTGGCAGTTACAGGGTAGATCCCAGTAAAGAGCATCGTGTATGGGAGGGCATCTGTTTGCCTTTCAGATCGGACAATTTAGTTACCACCAGCTGAAATACCACCGCAGCCTCGTGTAGGATCGCTCGCAAGCTGCCGCGGGGCGATGCCTACTGATTGGCTCATCTGGCGCTTAGGTTTCGATTCGTGGCTCGATTTCGCCCAGACGCTGCTAACTACCGGTAATTAAACCTCCTGACTACAAATGTAGTAGTCGATGTACAGTACTATACCGACTTACAGTTGGTTCTGGTATTGCAGATCGGAGGCTCCGGGCTTATCCGCTCGCTCGCTTGGACTTTATCTATCTTACTGAACTGGCTTGATGGAGCCCTTCCCTGGCCTAACTAGTGGACTATGAAATCTCGAAACATGCCAGTCGCCCCCTGTTGCTGGATGAATATCGCTATTGCCAATGAAGCTAGTACTAAGTTTCCAGCCCCTCTTTTTCAGGGACTGCGTTTGGACTACAACGTGTAGTGAACACGAGGGGTTGAAAGAAAATGGAAAAGAATCAACAAGCATACGTACTTAGTCGTTCTGCGTGGAGAAAAGACATACTACTAGACCAGCATGCACGGCTGCCTAAATCTTGATTACGGTTTCTCTCTCTCTCTTTTTTTTTTTTTTTTTTTTTTTTTTTTTTTGGGGGGGGGGGAAATGCTGTAGCCCACAAGTCTGCAATGTACATAAAAAGAGAAAGGTGAAGTGAAAGGACTTACGCATGACAAGAATCATCCACCCAACACGCCTAACCTATCTACGTATGCTTGCTTTTTTTCCTCTCTTTTTTCTCTTTTGTTCATTGTGTAGCGGTGTTGCCTCTGGTTCATCTCCATAATCTAGCGTAGATTTAGTCTCCAACCATTTGATCTGACTCTCCTCTCCGTCGGGGATATCGCGCGACTCCACGGTGTGCAGAAGGTGGTTCCGACATCCTGAATCTCTGATAGCCCAAGCGGGTTAGGATTAGCGATCTCGCACGGGATCATGGGACAGTTCATCTTGGATCGCGCGCGCCGGCCGCTCCACTTCTACCTTCTAAGCCCCTTTGGGCTTGGGCGCTCAGATCTCCCTTTTCCCCCCCCCCCCCCAACCCAAGACCACACTAGCCATTCTACGTGGTCTAGAAGAAAAAAAGTAACCTAAGCATTGAAGAAAAAGGTGGTAGTCCTTTCTCTCAATCTCTGCCGTGAGTAATCGGCGACCTCGTGTAACGGTACGAGGTTCGATTGGAAGTTTGGAACCGTTCCTGTCTGTACCTTCCTCAGCTTCGTTCTGCATTGACCGGTCCACAACGGATACATCCGCTGACTGGACGGAAGAGAAGACCGATTGCTCTCCCCTCCCTCCACTTTTCGGCTTTCGCTCCAGCAGTATTCTTAGTATCTCAGTAGTACGGAGGTAGTGCAGATGATTTGGGTGTTCGGGATTTACTGGAGGTTTAGACCGAGCGATGGGTGAAGGGAAACAAACATTCTTAACCAAGCTATTCAGGTTTAGACACACTACTCCTAGGAAAGGGTTGAAGTGAAGAAACTCTTTTCCAATCCTTCTTGTTTGGGGAGGAAAGAAAAGGCTAGCAAGCTAAACCACTAAACCACTAAGATCAGAATGGATGATGTGTTTGCCCCATCTCTTTTTCTTTTGGATTTTTTTTTCTCTCTTTTCCTTCTCGGACAGTTCGCGAAGAACAGAACTTCTTTTCGTCCTTCTTCGGTCCCCCTTGCTTTGGCGCTTCCCGCCGTCCCCTGGCCCCAGTACGACGGCGCCCAGATTTCTTTGGCATCTACCGAATCGCCCGGAGAGGACAGCTTCCCACCCCAACACAAAACCCACCCAGTCAGTCAGTTCCATTCATTGGGTGTTTGGTTTTTCTCTTTTGGGGACATGATTTGGAACTCTGCTATTGGACCGCATGTATGATGCGAAGGTTTCTTTTTCGAAACTGATCCACAAAAACCTACCTTAGAACCTTTTTTTTTGTGGGTGGGGTGCTAAACCAAAACCAAACTCGATTTGCTCCCCCGGGGGTTCGGTTGTAAATTACAAATCCATTGTCTTTTTTTTGGGGGTGGGAGGGTGTCATGTCATGTCTCGCCATGCAGATTTAAAATCGATGCGCGTGAGGGATCTGCTACTGTCTAGTGTAGATACACAGAGCCGCAACACCCATACAATCCTAGCGTTCCATTCTCCGCAAGCTTTCCCCGTGGTTCAGGTTTGGAGAAGGGGAGAGGTACGCCTTGGCTATACTCGTTAAGGTATAAGCTCGAAGGAATCATGAGTATCCAGATTGAGACATTGATTCACATTTCAGTGGATATAGTTATGCCTCATCGATCCAAAAGTTTTTCTTTGGATCCCTCCGCTGCGCGAACGACTTTGCTTCTATGGCCAGCTTACATGTTTCCGGTCTACGGGCATGGGCAAAACCAAGAGTAGGTATCTTCGGGATTTGAACTTAGCTCACCTGTACGCATCGATTGCATCTGGCACCTGTCTGCCAACGTCTGCCATCATCCCGAGCTGCTAAGTTCGGGAACAGGCAACGAGGAAGGCAACCACACTAGATCTGCTGGACTTGCATCCATTGCGGCGTGGATGAGTCGGGCGCGTCTTGTGCGCCCCTTCTTGTCGTTCATAGACAGTGCAAATGTAATATGCTTGTCCTTTTGGGCGAAGGGCGTGATTGACATGCATCCGAACTCCGAATGCGGAGTGATTTCATGGTGGCAGAGGTTAAAAGTTTGAAGATCGAGTTCACTTACTTTCCATCTTCCTCTGTCCGAACATCCCTGTACACGACCATATTCCCCGTCGAAGGTGCTTCCCATGCATGGAAATGCAGTAACAGGGGGAAGCAGTGGAGGGGTGGTCTGAGAGCATGCAGATGTTTGGATGATGTGGCGATGCAGTTTGTACAGTACACATGCATGATGATATAAAGGAAGAGAGGGAATGTGTCTGTGTGTGCATACATATTGCGACTAATCGCGCAGGGCATGTGGCTTGAGACTGTCACTGACATCATTTGACAAATCACAATCCATCTCATCCCCTCTCTCTACTAAAAACAAACGCACAACCCAGCAAACCACATCATCTTTAGGTTTCAACTGTCGCGTGCAAGAGCTCCCACCATCAGCCCGCAGTCGTGCACAGAGATTTTCTTCTGGCCCTTGCATTAGCTCGCCCTGCCCTCTTCTGGGCCAATCATTCAGGTCCTATCTGCAAGATGTGGCTTGATTTGGGATCTTCTGGCGGTAGTCTAATGCCTTGTGTACTGCTCTCTCTCGACCCCGGATGCAGTGTTACCGATCACTTCTGACTAGATCTGTCAGATCAGAAAAGCAAAACAGAACATCTGCACCGTGCATACATCATGCGCCGTATCGGGTAATCAAAGGGGGCAGCTGAGGGGCCCCGGCGCTGGATCTGAGAGCCCGATCAAAAGAAGCGGTGACATCTAAACCTTGTGCGGTTCGACCTCTCGATCTACCTTAGCATCTGTCACATTCCTCGATCAAGGAAGAGGCTCAAGTCTCTGTTTTTCTCGGTCTTGTCCATGCAGAGGCTTGTTTTTCCTTTTTCGTGGGGCGAAGGAGGAGAACGGACCTCCAGTTCCTGCAGGCGCTTGGTTTGCTAGCCGCGCATAATCGAATTGTTTGACTCCTCATATATTGGGCTGGCAATTATTGGTTCGGCTGAGGAGATAGAGCTGTGGAGTGTCTTGTACACCTTAGTCTGGTGACAGGTAGATTTCGATCCCGAACGATTGTGGGTTTTTCGTTGATCGATTGGGATTTTGACGTCGTAGATCCGATTCATACTCAGTGCACGGAGTAGTGTACAGCGCGGAGGTGAGGTGAGTGGGCGTTGGTATTGCTACCGTGTTCTGTAGGGTCTATCTGCTTGACAGACTATTCGAAGTAGCTTGGCCAGGCCTGTATTGCTGTAGGAAGGAGATCTTGCCAGCTCTTCCACAAACCGAATTCCAAATATGATCAGTTGATTGTGAGACTGCTATTTCGTGGTTCGCGACAAGCTTGTATTGTTGTTTTTCGTCTCAGGGCATGAAATGCCACCAGGGTGATATCTCGAGCCTTAGGATCATACGCGAAAGGGACACCGCAGCTTCCATATACTGCTATCCTGAGGCAACTGGGAGCTCTTTCCTTCCACAGTGGCCTAAGCAATGCAGAGGTTAATTCCAATTCACTATGACGTTTGTGACAAGATTCACCTCTTCACCTCTGGGTTGGCCCGGCGATAAGATAAGGGTCAATCATGTGTCAATCACGTGTGACAAGCAAGCTTCACCCCCCTCCACAACAGCGTACTTGCATCAAAGAACATCTTTCGAGAACGCCATCTGTTGTACACCTTCTTGATTTGATACTTGTTGAATCAGAGTATCATCGAACGAAGAACCGTCTCACTCGTGCAGGACGTCTCCCCTCGATCGAATCAAACTGCGCTCCAAGTGCCCGGCTCCCGCCACCTCTACGTCCAAAACGCGGGGAAAGACTTCCAATCGCCGCCGTTTGGATAAATTACTTCACGACCGTGCTGCAATATGGCAGGCCCCCTCATGCCTCTCGCGGAGATCCCGACCGTTTCCCTCCTGTACAAGCTGAAGCGGTTGGTCCCCGCCGCGTCCCCTCTGGCGCCGCCGTCCAAGGCCTTCAATGACACGATCGCGTTGGTTCGCAATGACATCACAAAGCTGCAGGGGGTCGACTGCATAGTCAACGCCGCAAACGAGAGCCTGCTGGGCGGCGGGGGCGTCGACGGCGTCATCCATCGCGCCGCGGGGCCCGGTCTGCTGCGCGAGTGCCGCACCCTGGACGGCTGCGACACCGGCGACGCCAAGATCACCGCCGCGTACGAGCTCCCCTGCAAACGAGTCATCCACACCGTCGGGCCCATCTACGAATCCGAGCGCCGGCGCGGGGATGCCCGGCGGCCCGAGTCGCTACTCCGGAGCTGCTACCGTCGCAGTCTGGAGCTGGCCGTGGAGAATGACATGAGAAGCATCGCATTCTCGGCCGTCAGCACGGGCGTATACGGGTACCCGAGCGAGGCTGCCGCCAGAGCGGTGTTGGATGAGACGCGCCAGTTTCTGGAGACCGCTGGCAATATTGGCAAGTTGGAGCGCATCATCTTCTGCAATTTTGAGCGCAAGGACGAGGTGGCCTATGAGAAGCTCGTGCCGTAAGTCTGGACCATCGATCCCCCTTCGTCTTCATCTGAGCTTTTGCTATTGTGAACGGTTATCTCCTACTCGATAAGTGGGCTCTGACAGTATGCTTCGTCTGCTAGTTTATTCTTCCCACCCGAGGGTCAGGACGCTCACAACACCAACAACGAGCAGAGCGAATCCCAGCCGACAAGCACTGACGGTGAGTCCTTACTGTCATCCGAAGTACTCGCAGCCAAGCTCCCCGACGCGCCCACCATGGAGCCCGGACTGGACGGCCAACCGGAGACCAAGAAACAGAGGGTTAACGAGACCGCGACCGCGCAGCGAGGTAAAAGCTACATCGAGGACTTCTCCATTAAATCGGATGACGACTGGGAGGAAGTGGACAAGTCCGAGGACGGGCGCACGGAGAGATTGGACGATGACCCCGTAGAGGTCGACCGGCCTCCTTCGGCCACCGACGTGCAAAGCGTCCAGTCGAGCGGCATCATCGACATGGATGGCTCGCAGTCGTCGTCGGATGGCATTCTGTCCAAGGATAGCCTGATGACCAAGGACTGGTAGTTGAGCCTGGCGACTATGGATAATCATGCACAAACATTATGACAAATACGTTACTCTATGATTCGGCTGGCGTCTGGGACTGAATGTTCAATGGTTTTGTGCGAATGGAGCAATGCACATCAACCCCATCGATATTGAGATTTTTCCTCACATAAGATAGCTAATGCAACTCTTACTCTTGGTCGATGGGAGAATTCTAGGCACAAAGAATTTATCTGTCTTTCACGGTATACTTCGTAGGTAGAATAGCTATAGTTCGGGTCCACGCCCGGTCCACGGTCACAGGACAAAGTTCCCGAAACGATCAGTGCAAACACCGCAAACAAGCTTGCGATGATTATCACGATCACTTCCGCGGCTTCCATCGCATCGCACGCTCCGATGCGACACACTTCGATACCGTTTCCCTCCACAATTGCGCACCAATTCCTCTTCCAGCTCTACTTACGATAACTTAACAAACAACGCAGGAAGCAATCGGACATCCTCCCGTACTAGCCAACCTCCCAACCCGGCGACCGCATCCACACCTCCCTCCGCATTTCCGCTCCACCGCACGCAAACCCCAGCACCAACCCAGCTTACCACCCCACTCCAGCAAAAGATCCCTCCCCTACCTCCCAACAGAAATGCCCCCACCATCTGGACAAAACCGACCAAAACCCCGCGTCATCCCCCGCGAAGAACTCTCCCGCGCAACCACCGAAGGCCAGCGCCTCGTCCAAGACCTCCAAGACGAACTCCGCGCGCAAGCGCAAGCGCACGCCCAGCAGCAACGACAACAAGCAGCACAGCGAGCCCGCCAACGCCCGAGCTTCTTTTCAACACTCCACGCGCGCTACGCGGCCCTCCCGCAGCCCTTCCGGCGCTCCGTGCGCGTGCTGGGCGCCACCCTCCCGCTCCTCCCGATCGGGCTCTTCTTCTCCGAGCACGTGCTGCAGGTGATGTGGGTGCGCGGGCCCAGCATGACGCCCTACCTGAACGAGGACTACGAGCAGATGCACACGGCCAGCGATATGGTGCTGGTCAATATGTGGGGGGGCGGGGGCTTGTGGCCCTGGGAGCGGAAGCGGCGGTTGGAGAGGGGGATGGTTGTTACGTTTCGGTGAGTGTCGTCCTTTAACTATCCTTAGGGGGGCGGGGTTCTCTGGGAAGGGGAATGGTTGTTGCTGTTGCTGTCGCTGTTGCTGTCGCTGTCGCTGTCGCTAACAGTTCCGTTCCGGTGTGATATAGCTCCCCCGCGAATCCCCGCCATATCGCCATCAAGCGCGTCGTCGGACTGCCCGGGGACCGCATCACGACGCGCGAGCCCTGTCTGAAGGATGCGCAGGTCGTGCCGTTTAACCATGTGTGGTTGGAAGGCGACGCGCGCGATCCCCGGAAGTCGATGGATAGTAATACCTACGGTCCGGTGAGTTGCAGTCTGATCACGGGGCGGGTGTTGGCGGTGCTGTGGCCTAAGTGGCGGTGGTTGAACTGGGAGGATTGGGAGAAGGGGCTTGTGGAAGGGGATACGGAGCGCAGGTTTGGCGAGCATTATCGGGAGGAGGTGAGAGAGCGTGTGGTTAAGGAGGCGGTGAAGTTGGAGAGGCCGCAGTTGTCGTAGACTGAGCCGGATGGCGGGATGCTTACTGTAAGCTTGTTGGTGCTGGATGGTGTATATTATGTTTGTTTCCATTGGCTATGTACATATTTCCTCTCTTTCGTCCTTCCTGTGTGTGGTAACTATATAGAAATTAGAGAGCAGACTGATCCTACGCTTCGGATCGTGGAACTATACTTCAAGAAACAAAGCAACAATCGCTAATTCTGCTGTGAGATGATTCGCACATCCTCCGGCCGGTCTTTTTGCAGCCGGTCAATCTCGGATGCTATACTCAACACCCACCGGTCTTTCTCCACCCGGCTGCGCGCCTTGAAGACGATGGTCCGCCCGTGCACCCCCAGCGTGGACACCTGCTTCAACCGTTGCCGCTTCTCTCCCTTGGTCCCGTACTCGTGTGAACGGAAGTAGTTTCTGCGCAGGGGCTGCCAGATCACGAACGCGATGGCGGTGTCCTCATCACTACTTGTGTAGACGTCTGTCGAGAGATAGACTCGCGGAAGGGAGTTGTGGCCAGGCCGGTTGCTGTCGAAAGTCTGGTTTGAGTAAAGCAAGTCTGATTCGGTCAAAAGCCCCGAGTATATATAGCAATCGGCCAGGTCGATGGTGGTCTCCAAGCTATGGTGTATATGAGGCACTTCGGCGCCGTTGCGCTTCCGCAGGGAGGTACGAAAGATCAACAACTTTCCGGCCATGAGGACGACATGGCATCGCTTGAAGGTGCTGTGGCGGCGAGGTTTCCGATATAGTTGTCCGGACATCTACATCTCCAGTCAGTATCTGCTTCTCCGTTGGAGTAGCGTGTGATGTACCTTGATTGTCCGGCAACCCGACAGAGCACAGATGTTGTGCAACAGAGGCGAGGCCTCGGCTTTTTTGACCTCCCACTTTCGAGCGAATTGCCCCATGATTGACTCCATCTCCTCATCGATGCCAAGAAGCTCTTGATTACGCTGGCGGAGAAGCTTCAGCTCCGCTGCATCAGTCGCCAGCCGGACCTTCCAGTATTTCACCAGAGCATCGAGTCGTTTCATCCATTCATTCTTGGTGATCACATCGTACGCCTGGAAGCGAACAACAAGGTCATTGTGCAGTAGCATCTCAAACGTCCTGTCATCATCGAACTGCTTCGTAGCGCCGTCATCTCGGCGCGAATCTGTCGCGTCAGGCTGAAAATCGACGTCGGGCCCTTGTTCGAGATTGGGGTCAGCTGGGCAAGCATCCCGGTGCACATTGCGGACTTGTTTAACCCCGCTTAGATCGATGAATCCGTCTGCATTCTCAATATTATGGGCATTTCTTTGCTGTTGGGCATAGGCCTGCTCGTCGTACTTGGCAACGTGTTCCTTATTGCCACTTGAGAGCCATGTAATCTGGCCATCCTGCAACGGATACGGATCAATGTCGTAAGAAAGAGGCGAGGCGTCCAAAATCTGCTGCGTTGAAGGCGTGGTAGTCTCATCCCGGTCGAGCTTTGGAGGCGCCGGGGGCAGTGACTTGGAGGGCCGGCAGAAAAACAGGTGGTGATCTTGGGTAAAGAAATACAACCGTTTGAAGAACATCTTGTTCAACCGCTGGTGTACACCGCGCTGCGATGTGAGACGTACAAGAAAGCCCTCCACCGGTGGAGGCTCATCCTCCTTCTCATGGTCGTGCTTGATGTGAGTGTGATAATGTTGCCTCGGTCGCAGCTCGAGCTCATGGGTCGTATGCATCGCAATTGTGCCATACATATTAGCTTCATTGGTACCAAAAACCCATTCCAATCGATCATATCGTTTCCAGGCAAGCCCCATAATCTCGGTCTTGGACCAGCGGTTCAGGACCTCGGCCCATTCGGGGCGGTGTTCCAGCATCTCCAAGCAACCGCGCACAATCGCTATAGCGACAGAGCTCTCCTCCGTCGCAGCGCGACCTAGAACACCACTCTTCCCCTTCTTCGAATAAATCGCTTCCAATTGTTCGAAAGGATTCTTGAAAACAAGAGACACCCCAAGGTCTGGGACATGTATCGGGAGTGAAGTTGGACGGCGCCTGCCTAGCACCTGGCTCAGGAACGTGTACCATTCCATGGCATGCGCCGCAGATTTCGGCCGTACAATAAAGATCTTGGTCCCTCGCTTACACGGCCCCCAGATGACGATTGTCTTGTCCAAATGTGAATAAAGATTTACCTTAGTCCGTTTGCGACCCAGCGGGATATCGTACTGCGGTGACACCCGCGTGCCTGCCTTCTGCACTTCGGGTATGACACGGGTCTTGTACATTTGAAGGGAAAATGGCGCATCCGGATTGGAAGACACTCGACACGCCACGAGGTATTCCCGCCACTGATCCACAACCCGATTCTCTGACTTGAGACTGTCATTCTCTGTATAGTCATCGGGGAGCTTGTCCTGTAGTGTTTCCTCAATCCGGACAAGCATTTTCTCTGCCTTCAGGACCTCTCCTTCCTGGATTTTGTGCCGGTGCGGTCGGTGTCGTGACAAGACTCCCTGTGTCCTCGATATGCGCGAAAAAAGGCGTTGTTGTTTGTCCAAGAGATTGTCATCCAGGTTGTACCTGACCGCCTTTTTGTGCAGTGGGTGAAGAGGATTACTCCTGACTCGCTTGCCCTGCGGGATTGATTGCTCTTCGTCGCTCTCCACCCGAGGCTCATGCTGTTCTAGATCTGCTGGTGTTGAGATGGAGGGTGCTCTTCCCTTTCCTTTGGATCGCGAAGCTGGCCTTAGCAACCCAGTTGTGGATCCATGATCGCTAGCAGGAATCATGGGGCTCGACTGACTCTCGGCATATTGGCTAGGAACCTGTAGCGTTTGCCTGTCTTGTTCCCGCGTGGGTTGCTCCGATTCCATCCTGCTGGGTTCTAAGGATGCATCGCTTGGGCCGCGCTCGTGGGCCGTGTAATAAGCAGAGCCACCATCTTGTCTCCTAGTAGACGCGCCTTCGTGGTTCGCTGTTTCGCTAGAGGTTGATCGGCTTGTGTCTGCAGTAGTCGTTCGCGAAACCTCATGTCCGTTGTCTTCAGAGAGAGTGTAGGGAATAGTCCGTAAGCTCTTTCGCAGGCGGGGCTCACGATCACTGGCTTCGCCTTCTGATTCCCGTTCTGTTGCTTCGTCTTCAGTAGTATCAGCCAGACCAGCTGACTCTTCTTCGGGAGACGATTCATATTCATCACTGTCGTACTCCTCGGTGTAGCGTGCGACCATGGGGTCTGCAGAGAAAGTGACAGTCCTTGAGGAGTATTTACTCAACCTGAGCCTTGTTCTCCACCACGATTTGCGGTGATTCTGCAACCAGCCCTGCGGGATGGGACCGATGAAGAATCGCCGATTGGTCATGTGTATGTGCTTGGGAGAGGCATGATGCTTTGTCGGGTCAGCAGCTGAGACATGGATGTGTGTGCGCACATACCAATTTCTCTGCAGTAAGAGAGTCGGGATCCAGCCCGCGATATTTGGAGCCATGATACCCGAGACGAGGATCGGTAGCCATTCCGTCACTGGAATGCTGCTCCGTTGGCGCATGAGAAGTCATGACATCCCCGGTGAAACTCCCTCGACGAGATATCTAGGGTGTCCTTAAGGACAAAAAGGGTGGTTTAAAATCGAACCAGGAAAGCTGGAGGAGGATGAGATGCAGATCTGGCATCGGCCAGGAACCAACACTGGGGACAAGTCTTGGCCTGGAGTCGATGACGTCGTTCGTTGGCGGTCTTCCCCCTTTCCCAAGTGTTGTGCCCTGTTGCCCTGTTGCCCTGTTGCCTTAATGCCTTGTAGCCTGATAATCCGTTCCCATGTTTGCACCCTTTGTCTCAAGTGAAACAATGGCTGACGTAACCACTCAGGGGCGAAGGGACCCGCTTTGTTTATTGGTCTCGAACCTCACCGCTTGCGTGTCCCGCTCCCCTGCGGCGGTGAGTTGTGACAGGCCGCCGTGGGCTGTTGATGAGCTGCCCTCCACCTCCCCTCCACGTCGCCTTATAAAGCCCCCCAACCCCTGATCATTCGACACACATTCTCTCTATTACCTCCCTACAATCTACTGTGTTCTTTGTACTTCCAACATACACTCTACCTCTCTACTTTCACAAAAATGGCTACCTGGTTCGACGGCAAGAAGTCCTTCGCGGACGTTCCCATCACCGCCAACGGCATCTCAACTGAGGAATTCCTCGATGCTGCTGAGGCCCTGACCACCTTGTTCGGTATGCGACCGTTATTGGAAATGGCACAGCACGCCGGAGAGCTCCGTATGCTGACACCAAATTCCTAGATCTCATGCAATCCAAGGCTTTCGGCGTTGTCAAGTCTGACCTCACCGGCAACATCAAGGTTCGGATAGCATACTACCCCGCATTCAGCCATCGCTCAGGTCTAACCCTCTCACAGAAAGTCAGGGACAGGTTCCTGGCTGCTCCCGCCGAGTCTCAGACTCTCCAAGAGCTTGTTGTGAACGAGCTCAAGACCGGAAAGCACACCGCCACCGAGGGTCTCCTTTGGCTCGTTAGGTTAGATTTGACTTACCCCTCCCCGTCCCTCAGCCCATGACACCCAGCCCCCTTATCGATGCATGATGCATAGTTCATATCGACACCTTCAACCTCCCGAACATAGCTGACATCTCGCTCTTACAGAGGACTTGACTTCACCGCCCAAGCTCTTCGCCACAACATTGACAACGCCTCCACCGAGCTCGCCGACTCCTTCCGCAATGCTTACGGCGGCACCCTCAAACCCCACCACTCCTTCGTTGTCAAGCCCCTCTTCTCCGCTGCCATGTCGGCCTGTCCTTACCGAAAGGACTTCTACTCTAGACTGGGCGATGATCAGGCTCAGGTGCAGGCGAACATGAATGTTTATGTTGCGGCCCTTGAGGAGCGGATCAAGATCCTCAAGGCATTCATGGAGAGCCCCCAGGCTAAATGGTAGATATCTTTCTGAAGGCTAGGTGATGTCAGGTACATTCGGCATATGAAGGAAAGCGCAGTTTTTGAAATGTACATACATATATTCGGGAAAGTCTGAGACTTCTTGCATGTTATTTATAGAGAAGATTTGGTCTGCGCAGGGTTTGTCGTATCTCTACTACTCCGCACTTGGAGAGAACTTTCATTTTGCGGGGAGTTGTGAGTCCACAAACGATCACAGGAGGACACTTGTACGAGACGATGCGTGAGCTTGTTCATGTCTTTGGCCACTCTGGCGCCATCACAACCATGGCATCGGTTCGTTCCTGTGGCCCGGTACAAACCCTCCAAATCATGTTAAACAGCAATGCACATATAAGAACTGGAGCTCCATAATGCAAAGCTGTATGGTATGGCCGGATGAGCTTTAGACGGGAGTTGGTGGTGTAAGTGCGTACGGCGAGACGAGATGATTGACAAGTCTACCCGAATTCTCCGGAAAATGCCTCGATCCTATTTGAGTTTCTGCGATGAGCACGGCGATGACCGTGATTAGAAAGAGCCAACACAGGCATGGGCGGGGATTATATATTGGGGCGAAAATTAAGGGGGCAGTGTTGAGGATGGATGACCTTCGACTTGAGTAAAGACCCATACGAGCCCCGTCTTGGGTCTTGATACTCACTATGCTCGCTTAGCAGCTGCCCCGAAGAAAGCATCCACTCACGGAGCTACATAGGTTTGAAGTTCCAAGCTGTTTTATAAAGTTCATCTTCCTTCTACACAGCGGAAAGTCCACCATAGAGTCTAGATCTTGGTCAACACTCCCTAAGTGCTGGACACAGAATCCCTACGCCCGGGAGGCTTACGCGCGAGCTTCGTGTTCCAACCTATCCCATCACTGGCAACCTACCCTGTTGCTGTTGCATCGTCTGCATCGATACTCACAAGCAGATCCTGTGATGATGACCTGGAAAATCTCTTCCCCCTGCCAGGCTGAGTCCTGGGGCTTTCTCTAGGCGACCTAGGTGAGCCGATTGACGTACTATGAGGGGAGAGAACGGCTATGACGCAGCGACATATCGACCGCAGAGCGGCTCATTAGAGCTTCGTCGATTGATGAAAAAGTCTGAGCACCGGGTGGTCGACTGCCAGTATACCAGAACAAAACACAGGCCTTGAGGCGTCTCTTCCGAGACTACCGATACTGTTTATCAGCATGTAGCCTCAAAACGATTGCTCAAGCCTTGTGGTTCCTATATTCATCAGTAGATGAATTACCTGGCCTGTCAAGAGCTACTAGGTATAGCTAAACACTTTCTAGGGCTGGTGGCCAGCGCAGATATCTCCTTCCAGCAGGCTGTTGTCGACTTTCGTACAAGGAAATCGATTCTCATGACGCTGGGTGTGATCGCGCTTGCGCAAATGTTTTTCTTTGTTCAATAAGCGGCAGGTTTTGACCTTAGGAAGCATGCTATTTGACATCCCTGGGCTCAACCAGATTGTTCTGGCGAGCTCAGGTGCGTTGCGCTCTTCACATATTGTTATACTACACATCATGCCCATGTCTGCGCTTGCTCATCTACTATCACGTGATCAGCATCTATGATTGCTAAAGCGTGCCGATGGTATACTTATGCGACAGCTGATGGAGTAGTGGAAAGACAGATGCCATAAGGAGGGACGCAAGGTAGAACATGAGTAGTCACGCGCATGGCAGCGGTGACTTAGCCAGGAGGTTACCAGGACCTAGAATAAACATTGAATCGAGACTGCCGCCGCAGTGTACCTAACGCTTTCGAGATTGCCATGTGAAGGGGGCTAGAGGTGGGACTCATAGAAGGCTGGAAGCCTGCACCAACCGTCCCGGGGTCGTCTGCGCTTCTGTCCCAATTGGGTAATCTAGCATGCCGCCGCGGGCCGTAGGCTGGGCTAGGCTACTACGAAGTACTGTATCTGCCAATCTGAAATGCTACTCTCCCTTTGAAGGACTCTTGGATATTGGCAATGATATGACTCTTATGATAGGCTTGATCGTTATGGTGACTAGCCCTCCATTGAAGTTAACCCAGCATGCAACCGCCTGTGCTCCCCTAGGGCAACAATTAGGTTCACATTACCTCTGGCATCGCCCAGAGCGAGGAGAATTGGGACCCACTGGTAGCACGAAGTCCTCTGCTTTCAGGTGGCTGTTGCATAGGGCGAAAGTGACAACTCAGAACCCCCGCTTCTGGTAGCACTCCATATATGCACATCACGGTTGCACGTGTGACAAAACTCAAGCGTTGGTGTGAGTTCGGAGAAGGAACTCGCACGTTCTTGGAGCATAGCAGTATATGCTATAAAGTATAGAGCCCAGATCACTCCACCTGGTGGCTTAAAATAGCATCTAAGGCACTCTGATGACAGTTCGGCCGATGACAGATGAAACATGCATTCAAGCAACGACCGTTTCACTATGTGGGGACCGGTCTAGCCTACCTAATATGTGACGTTGACAGTGACCTCAAGTATCCAGGTCAGATAAGAGAGGGGGATTACGACTTTGTACCACTCTGAAAACATGCAGCACCTTGAAAGTTTCCTCCCTTCAATCGGTGGATTGTGAATTAGGATTGGCATTCAGGCTTCGGTGCCCGCCTAGTTCGAGGGAGGATCCTGGAAGAAAAACAGCAGTAGTGCACGCGAGACTTCCCGATGCCGTGGACAGTTATCAGTATGCGTATGGTGCTATGTACTAATGCGAAATCGATCGATAGCCGAGCTTATTATGGTTCGTGGACGCCGCTTCCGCCATGTTCCACTGATGGACGAAACCATAAGCGGAGCAAGGCCGGAAACGGGTACCCTCCTCCGAATCATGGATTGTAGGGACTGGAATCAGGGGGGCAATGCGCACGATGACATGGCTTTCCCTTTTCCCTGCGAATCATGATAGGGTGTTGCGAAGCTCGGCGGCACTAGAGGCTAGCTCAGGTTCTAGGCGAGATGGCGAGGCAATTGTCCCTGGCATCAAGTGCTGACACCTGTCACCTGTCAGACGCGTATCCGGGAAAGCCAAATAGAACAAACAGCATTGTGCATTACACAAGAGACATTGCCCCTAGACCTGTTGACAATGCGATCGTTCTTATACGCATTATCCTACTCAAAAAAGAGGAGGAAGGTGGAACAAGTGTGACTGCATCTGAGATCCTCAGATGCGATCCTCTTGCTGGATCGGCAGGCTCAAATTAATTGTGGAGTTGTGTTGCCGGGTAAGGACTTCAGAAGAGGGGCACGTTGAGACGGTTGGAGACACCGTTCGGCAGCTGCCCGTCACGAGTCTTAGTGGTTTTATTAGTCAAAGTACTCGAGTAGCCCGCTCACCCATAAAGAAGAATAACTTACAGAATCAACGCATACTAAAGGATCGGATCAAAGATATGTTGAAGCAAGAAATATCTAAGCACAAGTCAGTAGCGTATCATTTACACATCGTTGTCAGGGAAGATAGGCTTCCAATTCAGTCCAACGGTGTTGACAGGGAAGAAGATCGAAATGAAACATCCGTCGGTGGGGCTGCCTATCTTTACCCTGTGCGAACAAGATCGATCAAACTGGTTGGCTTTTCGTCTGGGCTGAATCGTCATTTGCCGAGATTGCGCATCTTGATCTGCTTCGATGGAACAGCAATGTGGACATCATTGTTGCTACAAGTGCAGTACCGAAGAGCGGCGTGAGGAAGAGTATCCTGCAAGGCCTATTTCTGGTTAAGGCTGTCCCAGAAGAACGGGCAGAACCTTTATTTGCAGTGGATATCTGTAGTTAGTTGCTGTTTAGTTCCATGGATGGTAGAGGATTAGACTTCACTTGCCCTACCGGAGCCTAACGGCCCTGTCCAACACTTTCTATTTACACATATTTTAGAATCTTGCTATGTCCGCCAGCATAAGTTCACCCCTACTCCCACAACGTCATTCCTCAAGTTCTCAGGACCAGGAGCCTGTTACAACAAGACAATCAGGTCTGGATCATCCGCGTGTGTCCTTTGCAGGGTGCGCGATTCTTGGTACCCATCTGCATGCATGTCTAGCCGGCCTCCACTGGCAAGCTATTTTTCATCGCACAGCAAGCCGCATCTTTACGGCACCAAAAGTTCGAGACACCAATCGTTCGAGCCAATGGTAGGCCATAGTCTAGACTCCTAGAAACTACTGCATGTTGTCTTCGAGTTGTCATCATTGATGCTACTAGGATCGTTTGTAGTAAGGTGTCCGTGCCTGGAGCAGGTTCCCTTTTCCCCCTCCCCACCTTTGGAAGTAACCCCGTCCAGACTCCAGAAACAGGTGGAGTGATGAACCACCCGAACCAATGCACCCTGAAGTGGACTACTGACTACATTTTCCTTTCATGGCAAGGTGGACAATCTGAATGCCTGGAGATTGCCCCAGAGCCATCTTTTGGCACTGCTAGGCCGATGCCGATCAGCCTATTTTGGCCATTGCTGAAAGAGCACTGCTAAAGTACGGACTAATTCTCATAACTGAACCTCACTCAAGTTTTGCCGATGGGTCTTCAGCTTCTACCAAAGTCTATTTCTGGCCCTAGACATTCGGCATGATGGCATTGAGGGGTCATTCTCGGAGTTCAGAACGTGCCTAGGTATCCCTTCCCCACCCAAGCTGCAGTTGCTGGGATCCATTTGTCACTCTTCCACCCTCACAGTCGCATCCTTGCCACTGGGTCCATGCCCCATCACTCTTCACTAAACCTTCCATCCATGCCTTGTCTGACAGTCCGACCCGTCCCGACTCCTTAGCGTAGAAGCTTCTTCTTATGCAGCCAGTCTGCTCCCCTTAAAGTGCTATCGTCACCTGCAGTGCAATATTTTGTGTGCTACTACCGTCTCTCTTTCTCTCTCTCTCTCTCTCTCCTCGCTTCCTTGATGGTCGCTTTTCCACTTTGAGATGACCATGTCATCAGCCCCTAGATCACTATCCTCCGTCGTGATTGACCTCACCTCACAGACAATCTACAATGGTTAAGTTCAAAGGTCGCAGCGAGTCTATCTTCGTTGTTACCGTGGTTTTTCTTGGACTTTCCTTCATTTCCGTCTGCTTACGATGTTTCGTGAGACTACGACTGGTGCGCGCATTCGGATGGGACGATGCATTGATGGTTCTAGCTATGGTATGTGGCTAGCTGCTCTTGCCCTTCACGTGGCTTTCTTCTTGGTTCATGCTGAACATGAGATACACCATAACAGGCGCTGCAGATATTATTTGCCTTGTGTGGTATCACCGGGTCAGTTTATGGCATGGGCCAAAAACTCGAGTGGCTTGACCAAGACACGCTAGAAACCGCCTTGTTCGTATGTGATCTAAGAATACTACCCTTTTCCAAGCGGCAAAGTAAATTAACGTTCGCCAGTGGTGGTGGTTAGGTCAAACAAGCTATGTTGTGACAGTAGTCGTTGCCAAGGTCTCTATCGCATTGACTCTCTTCCGGCTTACCGTCTCACGAATACACAAGATGCTTTTGTGGTTTGTCATTGCCATCTCGATTGTCGTGGGCCTGGTATTCTGGTTCATGTTAACTCTGGAATGCCAACCGGTTTCATACTTTTGGCAACGTTTTCATTCCACTGGTACCTGCATCTCTATTGAGTACCTCATCGATGTCGCCTACCTGTACAGTGTAACAGCCATGGTCTGTGACTTGATTTTGGGGTTATTACCTGCCTTTTTAGTCTGGAACTTGCAAATGAGTAATAGAACCAAGGCTGCGCTAGCAGGGATCTTGAGCATGGGTTGCGTGTGAGTGCTCTTGGATGAACATCCACTGTCTAATAACCAGCCATGAACTAATGGCCCGATAGAGCCAGTGCAGCTGTGATTGTACGCATACCTTTCCTGCCTACTTACAACGATAAGGAGTTCCTCTGTAAGTTTGAATTCCACACCACACGAGAGCTACACAGGTTACTCATTAGAATTATCTTTAGACGCTACAGCGCAGATCTCGATCTGGTCTAATGTCGAGGCTGGCCTTGGCATCACGGCAGGGTGTCTTGTAACCCTGCGTCCTCTCTTTCGCTGGCTTGGTGACGCCAGCTATGGCGCCACGCGTAGCAAGAGAACAGGTGGTAGCATACCACTCTCGAGCTCGATCGGCCATGCAGCTCACGCCTCACAGAGCAATGCGACGAAGTACTGGCGGCCGGATCTCGATCCGGAAGATTCTCAGGGCGTGGTCACGACTATACAAACATCGGCTGGGAGCCCGCACAGTAGTCAGGAGGACCTCAACCCGAAGCCTAAACGCATGAATGGGGTTAATATACACAAGTCTTTTGTCGTGACCTCAGACATTGTATAAGAGCTCTACTGCTATTGGTGGCTTACTTACGATATATTTATTTGGTTTATGATGTTTCTGTGTGTCTGCACGACCTTATATGTACGTAGTAGGTATACCTTCTCGGATAAGTAGCCCACCACCCTCTTAGAACAACAAGAGCCTAGATTACTAAGACGGCTATGTAAGGAGCTTGCCTGGGCGTCGGCCTTCAAGCTTCCGAAAGCCATATCAATTAGTGCATTCTTCGGAATTGACGGCCAGCTTTGGGAGGCCCAGACTGATGCTTCTTAGTACACATATGAATCACCATATCTGGAGAAGATTTTTCTTCGCACATATCCATGATGTGATATCATTTTTGGTCAAAAGCTTCTCAGGGCCCTATGCGCCTCTGCCGGTCTCGAAAAGGTAAAAATGTCGATTACCTCAGCATTCCTTGACGAACTCGGTGAAGTAGATACAAGCAGCGGTCCTGATTGGAGGAGCAGGTTGATTGAAACAACTTGAACTCAATTGAACAGATTTGCTCCCAACTACCGGAACTAACTGAACAAGTGATACTGTACCAAGTCATGGGTACTAGGTACCAAATGATGAGTCCAAGCCGTCGCTTCCAGTGTGCAAATTGGCCAACGCAAGTTCCTTGAAATTGACACGCACACACTCTCCCGCTCAGCTTGACATTGAATTTGAGGAACATAATTTGGGAACAGATGCTCCGGGACGCTCTAGGTGAGTCACACCTTGGGAGCATTCGCCTTAGTTTGTACTTCCCGGAAAATGCATCGGGAGGTCAATTACTGCGCCTTGTGGTTTGGTCCTTGGGGCGGCGGATTTGATCGGTGGAGACCAGCCCCTGGGCAATCAGAGGATTTTGTCACAATGCTGCAGCCTGCCTCGGACTTGCCACGGGTAGCACAGTCGGGTTACTTGCTCTTCGGCGTTCGATAGTCTTTACGGAGCCTTCTCTATCACGGTCCACCATCCAAGCTTGGCATTTCCCTGCGATAGCTCATTGACTTTCAGCACAAAAGCAACATGTAGGCTCATGGCTGGTCCCAGGCCCGACTCAACTCCTCCATCCCGGGAGCTTTGGAGCGATGCAAGCATAGACAAGGATCGCATGCCCAGCGGCAATCCCGATCTCGTAGGCTGGGATGGAGATGATCATCCCGTACGCTTCGGCTTATCGAAAAGAATTGCAGAGGTTCCTGTTCCTGCGCTAACGGCTTCACAGAAACGGCCCTCAAACATGTCCACATGCCAAAAGTTTGTCATCACCGCCAATTTAGGTCTGATCACCTTCTGCGTGACCTTTGCATCCTCTGTCTTCAGCACGGCCACTACGGTCACGTCAAAACAATTTGGATTGTCTGAAGAGATGATGGTCCTGGTAACCAGTTTGTTCGTCCTGGATTTGCGCTTGGACCCTTGATTTTTGGCCCACTCTCAGAGCGGTACACGGAAGATTCCCCTGTTCATCGGGTTTTTTATGTTCGCCATCTTTCAGATTCCTGTGGCGGTAGCTCAGAATTTACAGACTATCTTCATATATCGCTTTCTAGGAGGGGCTTTCGGAAGTTCTCCGTTGGCTATAGTATGGCACCTCTCCATGTCCACCCGTCCACTTGACACACGTTGGTACTGATCATGCTGATGAAGATGATGAGGTCGGTGGAATTTTAGCCGACATTTTCGATCCGGTCCAGCGAGGGGTTGCAGTCGCGATATCTGCGGCGAGCACTTTCATCGGTACAGTTGCGGGTCCCATTGTTGGCGGCTTTGTGACAATGTCGTACCTGGGATGGCGATGTACATCTTGGTTGACACTCATCAATGTCAGCCTTCTTCGGGATTATAGGCTATCTTCTGGTTCCTGAGACCTTTGAGCCCGTTCTACCAACAACAAAGGCCAAAAGATTGCGCTTACAAACTAAGGATTGGGCACTTCATGCCCCCGCGGTAGAGCAAAGCACGGAGCTTGGGGATATCTGCGAGCAATACCTCCTACGTCCTATATTGATGTTGTTTCAAGAACCAATCCTTATACTGGCTACTCTGTATATGGGGTTTATATATGGCTTCCTCTACCTCTGTTTTGAAGCGTATCCTATCGCCTTTCAAGAAAATCGTGGCTGGAATGCGGGAGTTGGGGAGCTACCTTTCCTTGCTATCACGGTTGGTGTTCTGATAGCCGTGGGTATTATTATCGCATTCACCATTTCTCGCTTCAAGAGGATCATCAATGAACAAGGATCAGTTCCTCCGGAAGAGCGGCTCCTACAGATGATTCTTGGGGGCGCGGTGCTTCCCATTGGAATGTTTGGGTTTGGGTGGACCTCGAACAAGTCAATCATCTGGGTTCCAGAGGTCATTGCTGGCGGTGCTATCGGTATTGGAGTGCTACTGATCTTCTTGCAGGTAAGCTAATTCCCACTTTCTCTGAGGATCAAGTGGATGCATGAGTTTTGACAACGTTCCAGGGCCTCAACTATATTATCGACGTCTATGAGATGAACGCGAATTCTGCGATCACAGCCAACACTCTCTTTATATCTTGTCTGGGTGCCGGGTTTCCCATGTTCGCAACGGCAATGGTGAGTTGATATGTGCAATAACCCCCAATTATCATATTTTGCTAATTGTTTTAGTTCCATAATCTGGGGGTTCACTGGGCCATGATACTCCTGCGATGTTTAACTGCCATTTTATTCCCAATCCCTATTCTTTTTCGCATTTATGGTGCCAGAATCCGCAAAATGAACCGGTTCAGCCCGGATGTTTGATGCTCTCAGGGAGACAACATGACACTGGAGGGCTCTTCAACTAGGTTTCGAAAAGCAATAGCCACCCAAGCCCGTCCTTGCAATGATTGTCGATGCAAGCTATGGTCTATTTTCTTTCTTCTGTACAGGAAAACATGGAACTGTTTGCATCCTGTCGATACTTCAATTCTTGATTATAGACGGGAAAACGTCCGCCTAGTAGACGATGGAAGCACTGGACCCCTTCGGTAACAATACAAAGGTCAATTTGTATCGGTCAATACTTCTGCCCAGTTACGATGCCGTCCAAGCATACTTATATTATCTTCAGACCATCAAAAGAATTTAGTCATTCTTTTACTCAAGCGGCCGCTTATATCAGATCAGCACGAGAGCAAACAGCCATACCAAAGATGTCTCGATTCGAGTACAGCTCAGACCAGCAGATTGACGTCGCTTAGGTCTTCCAAGGAGTTTTGGCCGGCGCGGTATGTCAAAGCGATGCTCCTGTTGTATTAGTGTAATAACGGCTATGGCACGGACGCCAACGATTGGCTCTGGTGGGATCACTACTCATTCTTGGATGTGACGCTTGAGACCAGGGCGGATTAGGCTGCCAGGTGGGATGTCTCGTCGATTACGCCGTTCTTCCTGGAGCTCTGGCAGCAGGAGCTACATATCCCGCCGCTGGAGGTGAAGAACGAGGCGCTCCTGAAGTGGTTTGTTCAACGGGAGGCGCTGGAACAGGTGATCACTCAGCTGAAGAAGCGGATTGCGCTACCATCTTCTGGGTTGCTGAGTTCCTCCGCCCGATTTGTACGCTCTGGTTGGAGTCGGTCAAGCTGCAGATCCTCATCTTGCCTACTGATTCCTTGGAAAGTGGTTCTTCGGACCCCCAAGATGCGTTATCATGGAGGATACGGAACTTTATGCAGATATAGCAGGAATTGTAGTATATTTTCCATGATTCAAGTCCACTTGTTCCGGAGTAAAATGAACTAGACAATATTCAAATGATCTAAATGTTGTATTGAATCTCTACTATTCTTAGCAATAATTTTGACTCGCAAAGCGCCTTCGCAAGAAACCAAATTCTCATTTTATCTGCCTGTTCATCTAACCATGTTTGGCACGATAGTTTGCAATTGGATGGCTCTCTACGTAATTGTTTCACATATCTCAAATCGTCCTAGCAAAATAAGTTTGGGGGATAAGCTGGAGTTTCGGTATTGTTCAGGTTCTCGTACATAAGTCTTTCCTTCCTTAAGTGTTTTTGAAGATCGATACTTGAGGTCAAGTAAGCGCCAGATCAAACATATTGGGTGTAGGAAACAGAGAGAATCCTGAAAGTGGAAGACTGCTTTGATTTGACCTCATACCATCCTCGCGCGGGCCGAGTCTCGGCTTCTTTTTCACCCTCCGACTTTTATAACTCCCGTCCCCGAGATTTTGTTCTACTCCGATATACTTCTCTTTTCCAACTCGGCCCCAAATCCCATTCCAGATTTCTTATTTCGAACTTTTCACTTTCTGCATCTCTCTGACAACTGCTTGAGCACCAGTGACAGTCTCAGGGACCGTGCAATCCCAGACGCACCCTCCCAACATGAATGCCAGCTACAAGGTGGTTTCTCTCACCTTCGGAGAGAAAGCAGGTAGAACGCGCGTTTCTCGCGCTTGTGACCGATGCCATCGGCAGAAGGTAAGCTATCTGCTTAGTACATGATGAGTTTATCGGACAATCCTCATGTTGCATAGATTAAATGCGATGCAGCCCAACCCCGGTGCAATTGGTGCACTCATCAGAACGTCCCCTGTCTATATGATAGGCAACGCAAGAGACGCCGCAATTATATGTGAGTGGATTCCGTTTCTATGTCTCTATTGAGGGTCATTGAAGTGGTGCAGGGGAGATACTCTACTGGGCTCCTCAAGTGTGCGCTGACGTGACCGTCTTTAGGCAGCCACGAGAAAATGCTCGCAGTTCTCAAGGTGGTCAGTTCAAATTTCACTTTACAAGCTTGCCCAAGGATAGAGCACGAGCTATCTCGTTGAATTCAAGCACCGCAAATACTGAGCGTCACATTAGGGCCTCGTACCAATGCGTCTGATAACGAGGTGGTGGGTGATTCTACCCTGCCGCCAAGTAAACTTCGAAATCACTCTCCGGAGCACTTAAACGGCCACATCCCTATAATTAAAGGGAACGCCTTGTTGTCATCGGCTTCAGACACTATCCCTGCATTAACGCGCACGCAGGATAGCCAGCCTTCCAGAAAATCATCACCGTCCATTGACTCTTTTAGCTCACCACCCTGGGAGAACATTGCACAATTTGACCCCGGTCTGAATCACGAATCAAGTTCAATCGACCGAACAAGTCTGCCTGATCATGACGTGATCAAATCCCTTGCCATTGACTTCTACTCTTCGATTTATAGTTCCATATTCCCGATACTAGACCCCGTTCTCTTCGAACGAACTTTATCGTATGCTTATGAGACTGATCCTCGTACGCGAGGAGCTAGGAAGTCTGCTTGTCTCTGCGTGTGGGCTTTTCTTGCGTTCATGTCAATACATCAATTAGACGCAGGTCATCGCATATCGCCAACTGAACGTTTGCGCGTTTTGCACTATATTGAGACCTCCATGCATATAGGGCAATATCCCGACATAGACCTGCTGCAAACATCCGTCATCATGATCGTCGTCTATCTTTTTTCGGGAAAGCTTCGAATGGCTGTCATGTGGAGCACTTTTGCCTCTCGAGCAGTACTCCTTCTCGGAGGCCATTCGAAGACATGCCTTGAGCGCGCGTCGCTCTTCACCAACTCAAGTGAGCTAGAGTCTAGGAAAGACGCGCATCTTCGAAACCTTTTCTGGTTGTGCTATCATTTCGATAAAGAACTTTGTCGGCGTACCGAACAGCCACCGTTTCTATTTGAACACAATTGCGATCTGAGTCTTCCTAGAGGCTACAAAGATTCTGTCCAATTTACCTTGGAAGCAGATATATATTCCCGGCCTCTATTTCCCGGCGATCTTCGGTTAACGGAGATCCGTTCCCAGGCTTATGCTGCTCTGTACTCTCCAAGAGCCCTCGAGAAAAGTGATAGCGAGATTTTGCAAGCGATTCGAACATTGGATGACCGGCTTGAAGAATGGCGAATGGCTGTTGCACCTGACCACCGTCCAAAGCTTTTCTTCTCTGCGGCCGCCGGTATCGGCCGCGATGGCGCAGACATGCGGGCGGTGATGCTTCGTCTCGAATTCCACCACTGTCTAGCTTACGTCCATTTGGCGAGTATCCGTTGTAAGTCATGGAGTCATCGGCCTAAAGGAGAGCTAGAGGGAGTCAGCACGAGCGTAAAAATCTCTGTGTCGGCCTGCCGTTCATCCTTGCAATTTCTGCTAGCAGTGAAGTCGGCCTTGAAACCCAAGGTTTTCTGGTACGCATTCTGAACATAGGCATTCCCCATCCGCTTCTCATTGATTTATTACCTGTCTATTGCTGAGTCTTCTAACCTGAGGTCTTCCAGGCTCGTCGTGTTCTATCCCATAATTGCTATGCAAACCATTCTCTGGAATGTCCAGGAGAATCCAAGTACTCAAAGTGCAATGGACGATGTTTCCCTTATTAGTCAGGTCTCGCAGTTATTACATGACCTAGCCGCACAAGCCGCACTGCAGAATGAGGGACTCGGATCTGAGGACCGAGTTTGTACCTCCATTGCAGATCTTGAGCGCACAGCCCGTCAGTCAGTCTTGAAAAGTGCCCCCGCCACTATCGCCCGGTAGAGCCCTAATGTTGCGGTCTGAGCACGCTAAACTTGAGCTCGGAAGGACTCTGTGCTTCCTTCGAGGTTGTTCCCCTCAATGCAGTTCATAAGAAGTTTGTTTGCTGATCCGAGCCTTGGTCTTTATTTTGTAGATGTCCAGGGCTACGACTCGGTAGCAAATGTGCCATCTCAACCTTCATCGACCCGAGCGGTAGACATGCAATCGTGGGGAACGAATCAAGTCGGTATGTTGTGGTCAAGCCTGAGGATGTATTAACAGTCTATTGGCTTGTCTGGCTGCAATCTACTCGTTGTAAATCAGGATTGATGCATCCAAAAGACAGTAGTGACATTTCTGGGCTGGACATCAACAACAATCAACGATGCTTAGTAGCATATGTCGCGTGTACCCTGGAAGATACATGTGGAGTATAAAGAGATAGATTTCAGATCAGGGCCTATATCGTCCCTGAGCAGCTCGGAAGGCATGTAGATATAACTGGGCACTTGGGGTCCATCCACTTCTGTATGATCGAGCTGGTCGCAGAGTGAACAAAGCTGTGTGGTCAATGGAATTGCATCATTTCTTATCGAAGCGGCAGGGAAAATCCCAGCTCCGTGCGGGCACGTGGCGGCCAATCGTAACCACCGACGGGGGTTCCCGTACCTCCAGCTCCCGGCGGCGAGGAAATCCCCCAAATTTATACCGTTGAGGTGGCTTCTTCGTGCTTTCCTCTCCATCTCTCGTTGCGACAGCGGTTCGACATCAGCAGTCCGGATTCGATGGTTCAGGCGCCTCACCACCTATGCTTACCTACTGAGAGGCCTTTTCCAACTTCTTAAGTTCGCGTCGTTTGACCCGCGTCGTGGTCATCCGAGTGTCATCATGTGGGTTTCGCCTTCTTCGGACTGCATTTATCCTCGTTCATCTACTAACACGCAGGTCTGACCATAGGGCGAGACTCGTGGATGATCACCAAATCAAATATGCGTCGCTTCACAATGCCCTTCCCACCCAGCTACACACCTACGTCTGGCCTTTCCTGATTATCTGGCCGGCGTTTTTCGCTTTCTACCTCTCTCCTGAGCGCTACGATACTTACATTCAAGGCCAAGAATGGACCTTCGTTTTCTCTGGCTCGATCATCACTGCGCAGTCACTCCTTTGGCTAATGACAAAATGGAACATCAATATTGAAACCCTATTTACCGCTACCAAGGCCCGGTCGGTCGATTCTGCCCGTCTTATCAAGGTCATCCCGGCCGCCAACGCTGGCTCCGCTGAGATCTGTCCGTTGGTCGTTGATACTCGTGGTGGAAAGAAGACGATCTCGTTTTTGTTCCAGAAGCGCCGTTTCCTCTTCAATGAAGAGACTAAGTCCTTCGCTCCTCTGTCGTACGTTCTTGATGCAGAGCCCAAGCCTGCACTCAAGTTCTTTCAGAAGAGCCAGGGCTTCACGACTAAGGAAGAAATCGAGCGCGTTCGCCACCACTATGGAGACAACACTTTTGACATTCCCGTTCCCGGTTTTGTTGAGCTCTGGAAGGAGCACGCAGTCGCGCCTTTCTTCGTTTTCCAGATCTTCTGTGTCGGTTTGTGGATGCTGGATGAATACTGGTACTATTCCTTGTTCACGCTCTTCATGCTCGTCATGTTCGAGAGCACGGTCGTCTGGCAACGACAGAGGACCCTCGGTGAGTTTCGGGGTATGAACATTAAGCCTTACGACGTTTGGGTCTACCGTGAGAAGAAGTGGCAGAAAATCACCAGTGACAAGCTCTTGCCCGGTGACCTTATGTCTGTCAACCGTACCAAGGAGGATGGCGGTGTTGCCTGCGATATTCTACTCATCGAGGGCAGCGCCATCGTCAACGAGGCTATGCTTTCTGGGGAGAGCACACCTCTCCTGAAGGAATCGGTTCAACTCAGACCCGGAGATGACTTGATTGAGCCTGATGGATTGGACAAGAACGCCTTTGTTCACGGAGGCACTAAGGTTCTGCAGATTACCCATGCAAACACCGCTCCCGAGGATCTTGTTTACAAGAATGATTCGAGCATTCTTCCTACTCCGGATGCTGGCGCGCTCGGTGTCGTCGTCAAGACCGGATTCGAGACTAGCCAGGGCAGTCTCGTGCGCACAATGATCTACTCTACTGAACGGGTCTCTGCCAACAATGCGGAAGCTCTGCTCTTCATTCTGTTCCTTCTCATTTTCGCCATCGCCGCCTCCTGGTACGTCTGGCAGGAGGGTGTTGCGCAGGATCGCAAGAGGTCAAAGCTTCTTCTGGACTGTGTCTTGATCATCACCAGTGTCGTCCCTCCCGAACTCCCCATGGAACTCAGTCTTGCCGTCAACACCAGCTTGGCTGCCTTGAGCAAGTTCGCCATCTTCTGCACGGAGCCTTTCCGCATTCCTTTCGCTGGACGCGTAGATGTTGCCTGCTTTGACAAAACCGGCACACTCACCGGTGAGGATCTTGTTGTTGACGGTGTTGCTGGGCTTACTCTTGGTCACGCCGGTGCTAAGGTTGAATCGGACGGCGCGCACCCCGAGCTGGCCAAGGGTGGTAACATCGGACTTGACACTACGCTTGTTCTTGCAAGTGCCCACGCCTTGGTCAAACTCGATGAGGGCGAAGTGGTTGGTGACCCTATGGAGAAGGCTACTCTCAAGTGGCTCGGTTGGACTCTCGGCAAGAACGATACCTTGACTGGTAAGGCCACGCCTGCCACTGGTCCCGTCGTTCCCGAGTCCGTTCAGGTTGTGAGGCGGTTCCAGTTCTCCTCTGCGCTCAAGCGCCAGAGCACGATTGCTACTGTTGTCCTTGATGATCGCAAGGCCCACAAGAAGGTCAAGTCTACCTTTGTGGGTGTTAAAGGTGCTCCTGAGACTATCCGTACCATGCTTGTTGATACTCCTCCGGGTTACGAAGAGACTTACAAGTACTTCACCCGTAACGGTGCCCGTGTCCTTGCTCTCGCTTACAAGTATCTTTCCCATGAGTCTGAATTCTCTCGCGGACGCATCAACAACTACACCCGTGAGGATGTTGAGTCTGATTTGACCTTTGCCGGCTTCCTCGTCTTGCAGTGCCCTCTTAAGGACGATGCCATCAAGGCGGTCCGCATGCTCAACGAGAGTAGCCATCGTGTTGTTATGATCACCGGTGACAACCCGCTGACTGCCGTCCATGTTGCACGTCAAGTCGAAATTGTGGACCGTGAGGTCCTGATCCTCGATGCTCCTGAGAATGACAAGTCTGGAACAAAGCTGGTCTGGCGAAGCATTGATGACAAAGTCAACATTGATGTCGATCCTACCCAAGCCCTGGACCGTCGCATCCTGGACACCAAGGACATCTGTGTCACAGGTTACGCTTTGGCTAAGTTCAAGGGACAGAAGGCCTTGCCCGATCTTCTTCGCCACACCTGGGTTTACGCCCGTGTCTCTCCCAAGCAAAAGGAAGATATCCTCCTGGGTCTCAAGGATGCCGGTTACACGACTCTGATGTGTGGTGATGGTACCAACGACGTTGGTGCTCTGAAGCAAGCTCATGTCGGCGTTGCCCTCTTGAACGGTTCCCCTGAGGATCTTCAGAGGATCGCCGACCACTACCGAACAACCAAGATGAAGGAAATTTACGAAAAGCAGGTTGGCATGATGCAACGTTTCAACCAGCCCGCTCCTCCTGTTCCTCTTCAGATCGCTCACTTGTACCCCCCTGGTCCCAGTAACCCTCACTACCAGAAGGCTATCGATCGTGAAGCGCAGCGCAAGGGCGCCGCCACTCCAGGTGCGCAGGGCCAGGCAGAAGCAATTCCGACCATCACCTCGCCAGGCGCCCAAGCCCTACAGCAGACTAACGCCAATTTGACCCCCGAACAACAACGGCGGCAACAGGCGGCGGTGTCTGCTGCTGGATTCGCTGACAAGCTCACCACATCCATGATGGAACAAGAACTCGATGACAACGAACCCCCGACTCTGAAGCTCGGAGACGCCTCGGTCGCTGCTCCGTTCACCAGCAAACTTGCCAATGTTATCGCTATTCCTAACATCCTTCGTCAGGGACGCTGCACCCTTGTTGCGACCATCCAGATGTACAAGATTCTCGCCTTGAACTGCTTGATCAGTGCATACAGTTTGAGTGTCATCTACCTGGACGGCATCAAGTTTGGTGACGGTCAAGTCACCATCAGCGGTATGCTGATGAGTGTCTGCTTCCTTTCCATCTCCCGCGCGAAGGTTAGTTACTTCTGATGCATACAACCTTTTGCCTTTGCTTTACTAACTCCCGAAACCAGTCTGTGGAAGGCTTGTCCAAAGAACGTCCGCAGCCGAACATCTTCAACGTCTACATCATCGGCTCTGTGCTTGGTCAATTTGCTATTCACATTGTTACCTTGATCTATCTGTCGAACTACGTCTACTCGATCGAACCGTAAGTCACTCCGTCTATTACAAATTCCAAGGTTGCAGAAAAATGCTAATTAGTACTAGGAGACAATCCGATATCGATCTGGAGGGAGAGTTCGAACCGTCGCTTCTCAACAGCGCCATCTACCTGCTTCAGCTCATTCAGCAGATTTCGACCTTTTCGATCAACTATCAGGGCCGTCCCTTCAGAGAGTCGATTCGTGAGAACAAGGCGATGTATTGGGGACTGCTAGCCGCCTCCGGTGTTGCTTTCTCTTGCGCCACGGAGTTCGTTCCGGAATTGAACGAGAAGCTGCGCCTGGTTCCCTTCAGCACTGAGTTCAAGGCTACTCTGACTGTTTTGATGGTCTTCGACTACGCTGGATGCTGGATCATTGAGAACGTGCTCAAGCGACTGTTCAGTGACTTCCGGCCGAAGGATATCGCTATTCGCCGGCCG